CTTTAAAGCCCTGATATTTAACTTAGTCTAGTTCTGCAGCAAAGCAAACATTGAAATTTAAACACAAAGAGAGAGAGAGAGAGAGAAAGAGAGAGAGCGAGAGAGAGATGACTCAGGAAGAAAGAAAAAAGCAGCAGCATGTTGGGAGATAAATAATAATTGTAGATCAGAGAGAAGCAGAGCTCTTACCTTATCAGCTGATCTGGAGCCAGTGAGGAGCTCAGAGAGGCGTCTCCTCTCCTTCAGCATTTGCTTTCTCCTCCTCTCTTCTCTCTCCTCTCTCTCTCTCTCTCTCTTTCTCCGTCAGCAGATTGGGTCTTTGGCAAACAGAACCTGTGATGGAAGGAGGAAGGGGGCTTTCAGGTTTTCATATTCACTCATTTGTTTGTGCGTTAAAGGAAAGTTCTGTTATTTTTTTATAACTTTTGGTGACAAATGTTAAATTTGGGGTCATTTTCAACCATCATTTCTGTGATAATGAAATTACTGTCAATCATTTCTGTTGTTATAAGAACACTATAATCACTGAAGTAACGACTGAGGTCCGAGAACGCAGAAACAGTCACTGGAATAAAGGGCGAGAAAGTCAGACACGTTGTAAAAAAAAAGCAAACAGTTTGGTCAGAATATCTATTTTTAGAATGTCTGCTTGAGACTGGCTCCAAGAGCCCCAGAAGTCACATACACACCACATTCAAAAAAGCAAGTTTTCACAGCAGAAATGAACATGTTCACAGCCTGGTTCAAAATGAGGTTGTTCTGATTAGTTATTGTCCTCATGGGCACACACTGTAGAGGGTTTTTTTTTTTTTTTTACAACACATCTGTTTGATGTTATGAACGGTTAGGCGTGTAGGAGACCTGATCAACAGGTGGCCGCGATGTAACCCACCTCAACTCCAACTGAGACAGGATTTCTAGCATGGCGGCCGCCACTGGTGAGCCTCCAGAGCCGCCTGCAGTAACATATGACGTCACTCAGGCTTCATGCGTTAACATTGACAGTCTATGTTAAGGTGGTATAAAAATCTTACAGTGTCAGAAAGATGCACTGCGTTTGAATAATGGACAATTAAATTGCAAAAATATTTTAAAACTAAATCAAATAAGTGGTTAAGCATTTGTGTAAGGTTGGTTGCAAATCCATTGAGTGTGCTCAACGGGAAACTAATGAGCTGAGAGTGTAGGTGAAGGTGTTGTTATCTCTGTGTGACTGTGGCCTTCACTTCAACATGAACATGTTGTCTGGTAATAAAAACACATCAAACATTTCAAGAATCTCCTGCGATGTCAGAACACTGTTGGCGTATGTCTGAATGCTGCTGTTGTTTGTTTTTTATTGGTAGGCTATAAAACTGACTTGCCCTTCTGGGATGAATAAAGTTGTTTGAATCTTGGTTAATCTGTGATTTCTTTCAAAACTTCATTTCCATTTTGATCTCAAGAATCATTTTTATTCTCTCTGGCAGCTTTTTGGGTGATAAACGAACGCATCTCTCCACTGACAGTTGTTTTGCTCTTTGGTCTCATTTGAGCTTTGATTTGATCTTTTTCTCTCGATTTGAACTTCTTAAAAAAAAAAAGTTTTGTCGTCTTTAGTCAGCAGTATTTTTCAAAGTACCTTGACACTTGGAAAATACAGATTGGGAGAGAGAGAGGTTGGAGCTGTGAAGGTTTAGGGTGTGCAGTCGGTGGCACTGAGAGAAATGTCGAAACTCTAGGATCAAAACAAATTTGAGACGTTTTCTCATGAATACCTCTGCCTCTGCTGCATCGTTATTCTTTAAATCTGGCTCTTGTGAGTCTCCAAACCTTATGGAAGTGCGAGAATAAATCGTTGGAATGGTGAAGGCGAGTAGGAAAAAAGTGTTTCTCAGCTATGTTTTATTTTTACTCAGTCGATGGATCACGGTGGTTCAAAGAACCTTTATATATCAAAAGCTTGATGTAACTTTTTCTTTCATAGCCGTGCACTGCAGGGGAACAACTCTTTGGTACCAGAGGAGAAAAGGAGGATGACTGGTTGCTTAATGTGGTCAAAGTAGAAGAAAAAGTAAAAATTGGGTGCTCTTGATGATACACTCAAAAAGGCACGGCAAAAGGGGGAAAACCTGACACTCCAAGCAAGAAAAATTGTAACAAAGAGGAAGGACTTATAGGCCTTAATTATAGTGGCCAAATCATTAAAAAGATTTGGCTAAATAATTGAAAAAAAAGGCCAACATGTGTTGTCCAGTGAGGTCTTAATCAGGGCTTGAAAAACCTCTCAGGTGTCTAAATTTGGGCCTGAGCAGCAGAAGGAGTCTATCAGTGGGAATCTCCAAGCCCAAAGGAAAACACAATTAAATAACATACAATTATATTTTCAGTGAGAATTTGTCTTGTACTGTTTCCTCTCTGCTGCCTTGAACCGTTAGATTAAAGGTAAAACAAAAATAAAAAAAGGAATCTAGCAAGCGTGGGCACTAAGGCGTTAGGATCCTATGAAGGTCCTTAAACAATACAATTATGTTGATTCATTTGCATTTATGTCATTCAACTTCACAAAGTAATGTTTTTTTTAGGAACATCTTTCTTTTACACTTACATGGTGAGAAGTTAAATCCTTTGGGGGCGCTGGTGGTGCAGTGGTTAGTGTGCTCGCCCCACGTACAGAGGCTCTAGTCCACCATGCGGACGGCCTGAATCTGACCTGCGGCTCCTTTCCCTCATGTCATTCCCCACTCTCTCTCTCTCTCTGATTTCTTACTCTATTCACTGTCCTATCTCTCCGATAAAGGCACAAAAAGCCAGAAAATAAATCTTGAATGTAAGGGGAAAAAAAGAAATGAAATCTTTGGATGTGCTTGGCGTCACTGGTCTGATCCGTTGAATGCAGTTCACTTTAACAGTTACACTTTATGAAGAAGAATATTTCCTTTTCAAATAATATTAAACTATTGGATGCTGTGTTTAAAGAATCTTTATTTTACACTTTGCACATGTAACTAGAAATGCCTGAATTTATTGTATTATTATTATCATTATTAATGTTGAAGTCCACATTAAGCTTCAGGTGTTTCAAAGACCTTTGTTTACACGTGTAGGTTTGTGTTGTTTTTACAAAAGCTCGGCCTTCATGCAATCACAGAAAGTTTGGTATTTCCAGAAGTTGCCACAGGAGCACAAAATGCAGCAATTAAAAAAGTAAAAAGCAGAAGCAGCGTGCTCCTTCCTGCCTCGTGTGCCCGCTCAAGATGTTCTCAAGACTTTCTGCACTGACATTTCCATTTTTAAATCCTGGCACCTGCATGCAGAGAAGTTGCTTGTCAAGGCAGGTTTACTGCTTGGGGCCCCAGGCCAGTAGGGGGCCCCCCCCCGAGGGCTGACAAACTTTATACCACAGCAGTGGCTCAAAATGTCCAAAGTTTTCAATGACAGCTGGAAACCTCCCTAAGTGACCCCCATCTGACAGCAGTCACTCTCAGTAAATATAGTATATGAATGAATGTTGCTCCTCAAGCATTAAATATGGAGAGACACTTAAAGTAAGCATTACATGTGATTCTGAATGTTATTAATATTTAGAACTCAGGAAATAAAAATTGTCTTTTTTTGTTGGTGTCAGATTATTTAAAACATTATGGTGATCAATGTTGGTAGGAGGGGGCGCCCTGTGAATATTTGCAGAGGGTCCCAACAGGCTCCAGATTCGGCTGCGTGTAACCAACATCACCGCTGACATTGTGTGGTGATGTAGGGATTTGTCGCACACACCTTGGTCTCTGTAAAAATCCTGAAGCGTCATTTGGAGACCTCGGGGTGTTGATTGACAGGAGGGAGAGCGTACAGAGTGAGAGAAAAAAAAAGGCCACCACTGTGGAAGACAAAAAAGGCCAGAAAACAAAAACGTTGCATGTTAGTGGGAGTTCTGAAAACAAGCCGGTGCCAGAGAGTCATTCTGACTGAGGTGAAACACTTGCCATAAATCATTTGCTGAAGTTTTCTTACCTACAGTGAAATCTTTCCGTCAGGAGAGAGTGTTCAGAGATGTTCCAGCCTGGGTCTCTTCACTGGACAAACACTTGAGTCTGACCTCCTGCTTTTCATATCAACAACCCAGAAAAGTACCACAGTAATGATGTAAAATATGTAATTCTGGTAATCCTCTGCATTAAAATGTAATGTCATTATATATTCAACAAGATTCAGAGTGGACATGGACATAAAGTAAAGGAAGAAGTCAAATGTGATGTAACAGAAAACCTCTGCAATCAATCCCAGTTTGTTTAAAAGGATGTGACTAAAAATTAAAAATGTCACTTTTAGTTTGTGCGGTTTCTGTTAAATACAGACGTTGGTGCTTTTAAATTAACATCTCTTTTATGTTTTACACTTTGCAAAGTATTACTCACTTTTATGATTGAAGGCATAAGTTGGACCGTCGTTCCTCTTTCTGTGTCAAACACTAATGGCAATATGGGTGGATTGTACTTCTTCAACTTTTAATCAAGTAACAGTTTTATTTTTAAATATAAATCTGACAGCAGATCAAAACAAAGTAAGAGACTAAACTCCTGATGAACACAAAAAATCCTTAATTCCCTCTGCAATAACCACCTTCAGCAAGGCCTAAATAAGAGTTTATCAGCCATTGTTTTTAACAGTCCTCTTTTAATGTGTGTACTTTGTGTGGTTATTTAAATGTGTTTTTTAAATAAGTTTGTCGAGTCTTTCAAAGGAGAATTCCTCTCACTGTTGGGACAATGAAGTTGATCTCAACTAATCTAAACTACAGTAGCTCAGTGTCTCATCAAGAAATTAATGAAAAACAATATTTATACTTATTTGGGTCATTTTTAAAGTTCTAAATCAAACGGCAATGAATCATTTGTATGTAACACGTGAAAACATCCAAAGAAATGCAGAATATGGTCGACATCAACTACACTGCTGCCTGTATCCTATGCAAAACAATTTGGCGCCATCTAGTGGCAAGACAGTGTAACTATAAACTGAACTGACAGTGGAGACTGACTTTATTGTAAAATTTGAGTTTCATCACATCACAATACGTTTACATTTTGAGTGTGTTTTACTGGTTAGCTGTACAATATCATTCTGGTTTGAACTAAAAATTGTTTTGTTTTTTTGGAAAAAGAAGAAAAAAAAACCAACATTAATAAGAAGCACTCAAACAACATCTATATTGTTCACCAGGTTTCTAAATACATTGAGCACACTTTTACATAACTAAAAGCAAAGTTAAAATCAGTTCCTTTAAGTTTTTATCTTGTAAAAACATTTTACTTTTCACATATAAAGAGCCAACAAATCTAAAGACCCAGACAAGACTACATCAGCTGAATAAGACTACATCAAATTTATAAAAAAAAAACGATAAAGTTGAAACCAATCGGGACATCTCTAGTCATCAAGATTCAAACACCTTTACAGAGATATTCTATCTAGCTGACTTTCACATCTACAAGTTAAATTCTGTACAAACGTAAGGCACTTGTGGCAGCCACAATGTTTTTATACACGAGAAGGCCCGCAGCATTTCATCTGTGTGCCTCTCTGTTAGAAAAGCATTCATACACATTCAGCATCAAAGTTTAGTGTAAATTAAAAAACATTTTAAAAAAATCAGCTCAGCAAATTAGCAGTGTGTCTAAATATTTACAGTCCGGTCCTTTTTGGGTTAATAAAAAGCTGCGGTATTGGAAGAGTTGCTCACGTCGTGGTGGTCTTTAAACGACCAGGCTCTCCCGACTTACAGCTCCGTTCTGAAAGACAAAAGAAAAACAACGTTCATTCTAATGTTATCACGTTATCTAAAGGCGTGTTCACGAGTTAATTTCCAAAGTCTGGAGGACTTACCTTGCGGAGGTTGGTTTTTTTAGATGATGACATACTCTCATCATCACTGTAAGGAGGAGGCGGAGGAGGTGGGTAGTCATCACGGCGACCCGGGTATCCAGCAGGCGGGTTCTGAGGAAGTGGTGGAGGTCCACGTGGCGCCCTGCCGCGATCTGAGCGGTCGCTCTCGCTGTCCAGTCGATCCCTGCTGCGTGCCCTCTGCTGCTCGCCCAGTTTCTTCCTCTCCATCGCTTCTCGCAGGAAGCTGTCATCATAATCATCCGTCCGCCCCTGGCACCGGGACGCCGATCCCTCTCCAGGTCCATCAGATCGTCACGACTACGGCTGCGTCTCCCTGGGAGGTCGCCGTAGCCCCCTCTGTCTCCTCTCCGGCGGTTATCAGGGGAGTAGTCACGTCGCCTTCGCTCGTCCACGTCGCGGTCGTAGCCGCTGCGGGCACTGCTGCTCCACCCATCATCTGAACTGAAGAGACACAAAGCAGAAAATTAATCAGCGGTGAGAAGCGCTTCAGAGGAGTTCAGCGTAAGGTTTAAATATCGATGAGTCGTGACTTCCTGTTTGGAGCAAACCTCAAGATTAACAACCAGACTGATCGTAACAACTAGAAAGAGGTTAAAACTTCATCCTGTGTCTGTGTCAGCGGACATTATCTGTACGTACTACACAGAGGAAACTACTCACCCTCTCCTGCCTCTCGGCTCATCTGGACGCCGGTTTGCTGGGAGGTCATCTCGGCCGTAACGACGTACGATGTCGTCCAGGTTGTCCATGGAGCGTGCTCGTGCACGGTCACCCATGTAGCCTCCGCCTCGGGGTGGGTAATCATCACGGCGGTGTCCCTGCTGGGAAACACTGCTGATGGTGCTCATGGCTTCATCCCGGTCATAAACCGTAGCCAGAGGTGGCGGCTGGGATCGGCCCCCCCGACCTCGAGGGTCCAAAACATCATGTAGAGAACTGACTTCACTCATGTTATCCACTAAGAGAGGAAAAGACAGAGAAGAAGAGATGGTTAGTGAAAAAGAGAAACTTGAATGTTTTCTGGTTGAAAATAATCAAAGGGAGGAAGGAGGAAGTAGATACTGACTCACTTCACTCATATTTAGGAGTGTTTTAAGTATGAGATATTTAGGGAATGGGGTTTGGTCTGTAGCATCTCTAGGGGGCGTAAGGCAGCTGAAAGACGAGCAACAATACTGTGTGACGTGATTTAGAAACTCCTCTGCAGAAATCTGTCAAACACAGACGCTTTCAAGTGAACACTAAAACAAAATGTTGTAAGGAGCCAAGTTAATAAGTAAAGCTAGAAAAATAAACGGTAATAACCAGTTTTTACATCCACTAAAGACTTGACAATTGAAATATTTATATTTGAACACGTTACATACAGTATGGATAAATACATGTTTGAAAAGGCTGTGTTGAACCTTCACAATCTGCTGATCTCAGAGTCCACTTCATACTTATGGTTTTCATAAAGTACAGAACCTGTGCTAGCACCTGTGTCACTTTGAAATGTCATTACTGTGGCCCTCATAATCAACCTTAAGTGTGTACTTATGGTTTTTATTGCACAAGGAACCTACATTAGTATCTTGGTCACTTTATGATGAAATAATGATTTATTTTTAATTCATTTATTTATATTTTTGTTTGTTTTCTCGCTACTCCCCACGAAGTTCCGCACTTTAATGCATTACGCTGCCACGAACACATTCACACCTTTCTAACACACTATCTGAACATAAAAATCATTGTTTGACTTTCATCTCATTTAAATGTATTTGTCTCTATTGTTGCTCTGTATCTTTGCATATCTCTTGCTATTTTGTCCGTTTTATTTATTTATTTATTTTGTCTTTGTTCATTTGCTCTCGCTTTAGTTGTCATGTCTATGTCATGTCTATGTATTCTTGTTTCATTTTGTTCACCTTATCACCAATAAAAAATAAATTAAAAATAGTGGAAACAAAAAATAAATAAATATATATATAAAATGATATTCACATTATTCACCAGTTAAAAAGTATATATAATTTAATAAAAAGTTAAATCAATCAAACCTTAAACTTTCTAAATTACTTCACACATTTAATCCAGTCTGCCTCATAAACATCCCTAAACTTTCCGAGCCTCTTAGTCATTCAAACTTGTATGAATTATGTAACACTGTGACTCTTGAACATACAGGCATTCCCCTTTTCCTGTTTGTGGTTCATTTGACTGAATGTGATTTTTGTGTCTATTGCTAATAGTTCCCTAAATTATTGCCAAAGTTTTTTTTTTACTGTTTATTATTTCAATTATCATAACCCAGCTTTATTCAGCAGGGTCAATTTAAAAAAAAACAAAAAAAACAGTACTCAGTCCTTCTATCAAACACTTGAGTTAGTATTCAAATCTTCCCCTTTTGTAAAACATCATCAAATGTATTGCTCTTAAAGGAATGATGTTGCCAGCACTTCCTCTCAAGCAGTAGTTCAGCAGAAACGCTTCACATCATTCAAGAAAGCTGGGTTTTTTTAACCACAGAAGTCTGGCGCTCAGCACATGTACTGTGAGAGTAGAAATAGGAAGTGATTAGTCACTCACTGCGGTTGTAGTTGGTAGGTCTTGACGGGTCCAGTTTCGACAGCTCCTTTTCCATGTAGTAAATGGCACGTGTGGCATTCCCATCGGGGTCAACCTGGATACGATATCCACTGCGAGCTGGTGAGAAGGAAACCAGTTATCAGCCTCTGCAGCGTCAAGCAGATATGGTAAATTAATGTGACTGTAAACGCATGTAAAAGCAACTTGTGCAATGGAGTCACGGCTCCTCTTTATGTTTTTAATACTTTGTTATTGATCCGAGTATTCTAACATTGGGCATTTACACATAGTGGAAGTGGGTCTGATTCAATATTTACTTTAATATTGAATCAATGTGAGGGCTGCAGGATCAGGTACATTTTGATCCTAATTGTGAAAGACACATGTGCAATAAACACAGCACACAAAACTTCTTGAAACACTAAAGTAAGAAAAAACACTCACTGTGGTCTCCTCCACTGTCCGGGTCATGCAACAGAGGTACCTGAGAGCCCTGTCCAACTACACACACACACACACACACACACACACACACACACACACACACACACACACACACACACACACACACACACACACACACACACACACACACACACACACACACACACACACACACACACACACACACACACACACACACACACACACACACACACACACACACACACACACACACACACACACACACACACACACACACACAACACACACACACACACACACACCACACACACACACACACACACACACACACACACACACACACACACACACACACACACACACACACACACACACACACACACACACACACACACACACACACACACACACACACACACACCACACCACACACACACACACACACACACACACACACACACACACACACACACACACACACACACACACACACACACACACACACACACACACACACACACACACACACACACACACACACACACACACACACACACACACACACACACACACACACACACACACACACACACACACACACACACACACACACACACACACACACACACACACACACACACACACACACACACACACACACACACACACACACACACACACACACACACACACACACACACACACACACACACACACACACACACACACACACACACACACACACACACACACACACACACACACACACACACACACACACACACACACACACACACACACAATTATCGGTGGGAAAATTACATGAAACCATTATGAAACTACCTATTCGACTTTCAGACCAACACCAACACAGTGTGTATGGGGACTGGAAATTACACTCACTTGAGCTGGCGGCGTCATATTCCCGCCCATAACCGTTTTGAGGAGGAGCATGGCCAGCTCGTTGGGTAGAGGGAGAAGGGGTATACCAGGCTGGTTCATAAGTGGACCACTGTATGGTGGCTGAGCATACATACTGGGAGCATACATGGTGGGAGCATACTGATTGGGCAAACCTTTCTTCACTGCTTTTCCTGCCTCGTACACTGAGGAAGAATGAAACACAGCTGTTTAAAATGGAGAGACTGTACAAATGTGATTGAGTGAGGTGGTAGAAACAAATTTGCTTCCTGTCTTGTTTACTCAAGCTAAGCTATTTAGCTGTTTGTGATATCTACATTTGAGCCAAACAGGTTTCGGTGTGTAATAGATCTTCTCATCAATTTTTCTCTGAGAGGCTCGACAAATGTTTTTAAAAAATGTCAACCACCATTTGGTGATTTAGGTTTAGTCTTACATTTATACTTATAAATAAATACAACATTTAGAAGTATGAAGTTTCAGAAGCACTAGGGACCTGGCCCAGGAATTTCAGTAAAGTAAATTCAGACAGTATGTTTTCCCCTTCCTGTTAACCTTATTGGTACAATTTCAATATGGCGGCAGCAGTAGCTCAGTCTGTAGGGACTTGGGTTGGGACTTTCCAAGTCTGAAAACTGGTCTGACAGCAGGAGAGGGGTGCATGTTCACTTCCTGAGCACTGCAGAGGCACCCATATGCAAGACATCGAACCCCCTACTGGTCACTACACCTTTGTACTTTTACACTGCAACGACTTGGTGCCACCATTACGCCTCAGTGACAGTCATATTGAAGGCTACACGTTACAGGGTCATCATCACACTTTAAACTGGCAGTATGAAAGAGCTAAAGAAAACATTGTGTTCAACACCCAGCTCTAGGTAACAAAAAAAAAAGAAAGACAAGGACTACATCGGTCTTCTGTTTGGTACTTACGCGCTCGTGGGCAGCAGCAGCGGTCGGGGCAGCAGGGGCAGCTGACGTAGCAGCAGCAGGTGTGTGGACAGCACTGACACCAGCAGATCCCGATCAGGAGCAGCAGCAGCAGGAAGCCCAACACAACCAGAACAACGAGGAGCCAGTCTGTATGTGGAGAGTGCAATAATATTAATATCCAAGATTTAAGACCAGACATTTTTCCTCCTTTAAAATTTTTACAAAGGTTTTGTTCATCAGTATTAAGATTGAAACATCCAGCAAAGACGATCATCATTTTGTCAGTTTGTCAGATGTGATGTGTCCTTGTTCAATCCAACTAGAAGCAATTTAGTCAGGGATTTCTAGTCACTGGCTTTAAATGAGCTGCAAAGCAATACTCTGACTGCCAAAAATAAAGCATCTTGAAATTGTATGATCAACTTATAAACAGAAATATATGGTGTGGATGAAAACACTTTTTGCAGTGTTTGGCCAACTGAGTGTTCAGCTGTATTATATGATGCCAGAATTTGTCACTGAGGAAGTGAGGAGCCGGTGTCTGTCTCTCTGGAGCGGGAGAGCTCAGCTTTCTCAGTAAATAAAGCACACATTGCTTTATAATGCTTCACGTCACAACATTCTCCATCAGACGGATTGGACTCTAGCATGAAATGTGGCTTAAACTGTCTTTAAGTTCATTTGCAGCACAGAATTAAAGCTACAGGTAATATAGATTTTTATAAATAAGACGTAACATGATCAGAGGGAAAAAAATGCCTGTCCTGGTTAGATTTTGTGTATGTGTAAAATTCAAAACCATTTTGCAACGAGATTTAAAGCAAGCTCTGAAGAACTTTCAAACAGGAAATAGCAAGTGTGTTGCTTGAAGCCAACCATATTTATGCAATTGAGACAATGTGCATAAGTCTGCTTGCATTTTTTTGGAACAGACTCAAATCTGTGGAACCGAGGACTTCTAATTGTGTTGCCACGGTATCCAAACGGTTATTAATTTTGTTTATTTTAGTGATATGGAAGTTTAAATTTATTGTGTCAAGACAACCCTGAAACACAAAATCAAAATCAGTCGGTAACTCTCAAATTTTGAGTGTTAAGATCAAAAAAACATGGCCTCAGTGGTGAGGAGTCATTTCTTTAGGCTTTGTGAATCTGGAGAAACCGGTTTGTCCTTCTGCCCGGGGCATCACTTCAGTCTGCGTGTCAGTTCAGGCAGCACATGCCACAAAGAAACAACAACAGCACAGAACACTGTTCATTCACATGTAACTACTAAAATTGAAGCTGGATGAGCAGAGCACTCTGTGGAAACCTTTTTTTGGTGTGTAAGGAAGTGGTTCTCAGTGTTCTTTTGTTGCAAACAGGGAGCTGCAGAAAAAAACTGTCAAGTTAAAGAAAGAGAAAGAAAAATAGTTTTTAAAGGCAGAAGACTAAAGGGGAAAAGAAAAGTGTGAGTTTGTAACAAACAGCAGAGTTTGGTTTGTATTAAACTTCACGCTGAACAGCATGTATGTATACAAAGTATACAGGAACAGTAAAAGAGTAACAAAAGGTCACAGCCAGGGGTTTGAATTAAGTGTCATTGCAGGAACAGGATGTAAGGTCTGAACGTGAGTCAACAGTTACTTTAGTGGTTATTATTTTCTGAGACTGAAATGTATTGTATACGTATGACATCTACACTAGCCTTTTAGGAGTGTACCCAAATGGAGATTAATTTGTAGGCTTTACCCACCAACAGAATATAAGCAAGACTGTTAACATGAAAAGTTTGTCAGCCGTTCGTGTTCTGTTGCTGTTGTCTGACCTCTTCCGAAATACATCTAACATAAACCACAGTCCGTCTCCTGAATTCATCATTGAACAATTGCAGAAGAAACACCCCACCTAACAATAACCAAACTAAATAAAGTGGCTTGTACTACCTTCCATAATCAGTAAGTCAATCTCAGGCAGGAGGTCAGTAGTGTCTGACTTTCTCTCTGTGAAAGAAAGATAAAGCCACAATTACTTTAAAGTGCTATTTGTCTAAGTTTACAACTAAGTCAACAACTAATGGATTTTAGTCACTAGTAAGGTCTGGTGGTGAGTTTGATTTTTGTTCACTGTACTTCTGCCGACAAAAAAGCTCAACAAAATATCCAGAATAGTCTATCTGGTTGACCTTGACTTCCTGTTTTTTTTTTGTTGCAGGAAACTTTTTGCTCAACCCTTTATGAATGGTGAAATGAAAGTCAACGGAAGGAGAAGCATAGAGAGAAAAGAAAAAGCAAGTCTAACGATTAATAGTCTGCCGGTTACTTACCGAGAACGATAAGCTCTGTGTAGTCTTCTCCGTTTCCTGAAAGGTCCTGAGAAGAAATCACTGAGCAGACGTAGACACCGCTGTCGCCCCATGCCGTCTGTGCGATATTCAGGTCTGCATCTGTGAGAAAAAGATCCCCAGGTTAGACACTAAAAATGTAAGTTTCACACATCAATACATCTTTAGTTTGAGAGTAGGTCTGCACGATCAGAGAAAAATACTATCACAGTTTTTAAAGGGGACATAATATGAAAAAAAACACTTTAACAGTGTTTTTGAACACATATTTGGGTAACCTTTTGAGCAGGTCCACCATTTTTATTCTCGCTAGAGAAGATTGATGTCCACTAGGAAAACTCAGGGGGGAGCTAATGTCATTTAAAGAGACACACACACCAAAATGGAGCGTTCTCAGAGAGCTGGTTTATACAGGGTCACAAAACTCCTCTGGTGCTTGATTCATGTTATATTTTGACCAAAGCCCAGCACAGATGTTTCATTTAGATCACAGGGGGACTGTTTGAAAAGGTGGAAAAGGAGTCTAATCCGTCCTCTTTAATGTTGTTATAATGATATTAAGAGTTGTATCACCCACCACCATGATAACAGCCCACAAACGTAACAATCCACAAACCTAATAATACAAATGTATTTAGCGCAGGAGATGACATCAATTGGGTTTTATTTCTTTTTACGCACGCACACTTTCTATTTTGCACAGCTGTCTCATAAATTGCACGCTCGCTTTTTTTTTTTTTTTTTTTTTTTTTAAACGTGTGCTCGAAATATGAATAAAAAGGAAGGCAAGTTATTAAACTGCACACCCTTGTTATTTTCCAATGAGCTGACTCAAACCCACTGGACGGTGTGTAAGTAAATAAACAAACAACAATGACCAAAAAGGCAATGTCTCATTTTCATATTACATTATTACAATTATGAACGCTAAAGATTTTAACCTTCCCCCTCCACCAGTTTAGGAGCGCTCGCTGTGGGCAGCCCCCTCACTTTGAAATCTCTCCATTAGTGCATGTCCATAGGATCCTGTTTGTGCATGTGTGTGAAGCATGTTCAATAACAGTGTGTAAAAATGTAATTCTTCCCTTGGGGGATCAATAAAGTATATCTTCTTCTAAATGATAGTGTTGGCCTGAGTACATCGTCTGTATGTTGCTTTCAGTATAGTTTACTTTCATTTTGCTTTAGTGATATTGTTGCAGATTTTAAAAAGCTTCAGTCCTATAAAAGACTTGTCAGAAAGGACCCTAAAAAGTGCTTAAGTTACAAAGGTCATGACTCGATACTGTTAAAGTGACAAATACTGAGAAAAAAGAAATACAACAAACAGCTACACAGTGATGTAACCATCACTGACGTCAAAGCAAATTCTTCTCAAAGGTTCCTGCTCCAGGCTCATAAGCGCAGCAGTCAGTGTGGAACTTCCAGGAGGGCAGGCTGTACACTCACTCATCATGTAAAGCCCCTCAACCACTGACTGATTCAGGATGTATTCTTCTCATTAACAAAACAGACCTTGCATTAAACTTAAGGTTCTTATAATGTGAGCATGTGTCAAACAAGTCTTTAGATGTTAACCGTTAACCCTAGCTTCAGTGGGAGTCGTCTGTGGTGCTGTGCATTCTGGGAGTTGTTGTCTTTCATCCACATGAGCCAAAAAGACACTTCCTGCCTTTTCTCGGTCAAGAAGGCACCAACTTCAAAATGTTTTTCACATTTCTACTACATATATGACCCAATGTCAACACAGATTCATGTTTCAACAGGTGACCTATCCCTTTAATAAGTCTACAGAGATATTCTGAACATGATTTGTGATGTTCTGACACCATTGTACCTTGGCTGATGTCAAATACCTCTCTGATACTTACACACTGAAAATAAATAAATAAAAGATACACATCAAGTAGCTCTAGGTGATATTCTCTCTTTACCCTACTCTGCCGCTCTCTGGGCTCCCGTAGTTCACATCATCACCCCTCATTTACTTCCTCCAGTGGATGGACCCTAGGTATGCGTCACCCAGCCACAAATAGCTGAAGTTGCTCTGCCTCATCTGTAGTTTTGCTGTACCCTAAACAGCTTGCGCTTTTATTTAACCCCTAACTTTAGTAACCCATAAAAGTAAAATTAGCTTGCCTTAATTTTGTTAAATCATTTGATAAAATAAAAGCAAAACTTGTTTTTGGTCATTTCTGTGTCATTCAAAGGTTATTTTAAAAGTACCGTAAATCTATTTTTTTTAATGTAAATCAAGTTCGGTGTGAACAAATTGGAGATTTTATTACCAGACCATATCGCCCAGCTCCAAAATAAAGCTTAAGTGTGGGTGAATAACATTCATAATTTTTCCGAGCTTTGACTTCATCCGTGTTCACACATGCACCTTATAGCGGGAGACTCAGCCAGACTGTGGGAACAATGAATTGATGCATTTCTTGTTGTTTTAACACACACACAAAAAAAAAATCACCATCAAGGAAGACTCCTTCTCCTGCACACTCTAACTTCCTCACGTAATCCTAACAAAGTATTTCAAATTGTGAGAGCTCTAGCAACACTAAAAATCTCCTGCTGTGTCAAACGTGTGTGGAATGAAGTCCCAAGTAATTTCACGACCTAAATGAACAGAAATTGTCTGGAAATTGTCATGAGTTCATCTGTTAAAGGGTTCGAAATGGCATTCAAGTGTTAATAAAAGTCAACTCACTGTTTTGGATGCTGATCTTGCGGCCCTGGTACTCCTGTCCAAGGGTGACAGCATTGCCTTGCTTGGAGGCCACAATACGCACCGTCCTCTGGCTGTCGGCACACTCAATGTTGGGGTCGTAGTTTGGGTTGTTCTGGGATAGGATGTTTTCCGCACTACTGGGATTCAGCGCAGCCTGGATGGGGTCCCGGCAATATGATTTGTACTTCCATGTGACAACAGGAGGCTGGGTGGCGGTTGTCTGGAAGCTACAGGTGAGGGTGACGGGCTGGAAGAGGATGACAATGTTCCTCTTTGTGGGTGTCTGGACCGAGATGGCCATGATGGAATCTATAAAGATTTTTTTTAAATTAGATTAGGCGTTAAAGAACAGTAAGGATTAAAGAAGCAATATGTAACTCTGACATGTAGTGTTTAAAATGGGTACTGCAGTCCACATTTCAAAACATTGGAGAGAGATGTCTCCCCCCACAGAAGCTTCAGTGTTTAGCTAGCTCTGCATCAGTCTTAAAACTTTTCTGCCTTCTTACCTCTCTCCTTTTTCCAAAAGCATCCTCTCTATTTATCTTAGTTTTACTACGTTTCTGCTCGTGGAGCTAATAAGAAAAATTACAAGGCTTTTTAAAGCAGGTGGAATCATATCTGAACAAGTTTGCTTGCCTGCTTCCATCGCTGCAACACCTGTTGGTTTGCAGTGATAACTAGTCTCATATCTGTCAAACTGAGGGGCATCCAAAACGGTCATGTGGGGGTGCCTTAAAACTGCCTACCTTCTCTGGTAAAAAAAAAAAAAAAAACTAGACGATTGCGCACCACAATGGAAATGTAGACGGACATACTGTCTGCTGCGTTGTTGTCAGAGAAGCCAGCACTTCAACATAGCATGTTTCCTAAATGTCTGATGATATAGTAAGGTAATTTTAAGATTTAATTCAGTAGAATTATTGCTCATATTGCTCATTTAGGATTATTATTAAAATGTAACTCACATTTTGTAATATTAGGTCATGCTTTGTTAATCATTTGAAATACCCCTTAGGGCGTGGTGTATGACAAATGGCATTTCCCCACCGCTGGTATCACAGAGTGGGTGTGATGAGTCATGGGTTTCTGACCATACAGACTGGCTAATTACGTATGTAATTAGTATGCATACTTTGTATGCTCTGAGAACAGACAATGTTCCAGGCTTTGGATACAATAAAGACTTATTGTTTTGCTCTTTTCAGAAGTCTTTGGCTAGACATGTTACTGACGATGTGTTATGTTATCTGCAGAGACACCTGCGACTTTTCTGTCACAACCTTTCAAGTAGGCTATTGCTTTTTCTTACAGTTAGGCTTTCAACATTTTTTTTTTTTTAACGAGCATTAGCTTTATCTAGTAGCATGAGGAAAGAATAGCAAAGAAATTCAGCTCAACAATATTAACATGAAAACACACGTGTTGTTGATGTATTTGGTTTAAGATTACCATGCACACAGGTTATGTTAACAGAAACTTTCGTAGGTAACAAAATGGTATGCTTTTTAAAGTGAACAATTGGCAAAGAAATTGATAAAATCAGAGTCATTATTATATTATATATTATAATTATTTTTCACTTCATGTTTTTTAGCAATAACAGTCAGTGGTTCTGTTGAGTTTTAATGCGTTTTACTAAAGGGAATTCCTCAAATGTTCCTCCACCCCCAGGACTGCGTACTCGCTTTGACTAAAACTTCCTGTTATTCTGTATGTTATGTGGACCTGTGAAGGCCCTTAACACATGATAGGTTACAACAGGCCCACCGTGCAGAAATAACCTGGATTTCTAGACGCACACCTTGAACATAACTCCTACTTGTTTATTAGTTCTTAGAGGTAATACGTTATTCTTTAGCTGAATAATGACCAAGAAATCCAATATCTTATTTAGGATTTATTTTCTCGCATCTGGGCTAATTCATGTTGTCGAAAAACACATTTCGACAGGTTGTCTGTATGGTTTAATTTGCGTTTTGTAGGTCACCACATTTTTGACAATAGGCTACAATTAAACATATCCCCCTATCATACTCTTACTTTATTATAACAGCAGAAACAAATATAGTCCAAAAAGTGTCAAAATGTATACGGTAACACTTGCAGTATCTATCTACGGACTTTTCACGGAAGAGGGCCCCCACCCTGTTTAGAAAAAAAAAAAAACAACTACCGTACCTGTCGCCATTAAAGCGGCGATGAACACCGTCCAAAACATGTTTAATCCTCGTTCCTCGGAGTCTCAGTCGACTATGCTGTTAAGATATCACTGATTACACTAATAAAACTACAAGTTATGCATAATATTGAGTACAGCCGTACTTTTCCTCAACCTGGTAACTCCATTTTATGTCCCTGTAGGTTTTAGGCGAGGGGAGTACCTGAACGCCCCAGGTCGGCCGCGCTCGCGCAGGCAACAGGTGTGCGTTCAGGTTGTGAAATACAGGGGGTGTGGAATTATTTTTTGTCTTTTTTTTGTAGCTCGACGGCAGGTTTGAAACCGTGAGCCTGGTATCGAAAACCTGGAAAACACTTAAAACACGAAAACGGTGCGTTATAAATATATTTTCTTATTATCTAAGAGATGTAGAATCAGCTTCAAAGTTCTGTCTCACCCCCGTGCTATATAGATGGATGGTACGATCCAGCCACAAGCAACGCTATCTGAGCACTGTTTGTTAATGTTTAACCTGTCTCTGTGTTTGTGTGCTCGTGGAAGTGAGAATGCGCGGGCCTCTGTGTGAGTATGACCCATTGATCAAGTCTGACCGAGTTTCTGTTGGAATAAGATTTAGTATTTTCTTTTACAGGTTTTGTAGCGCTGTCGGGAGGAGTATCCAGAGCCTTTCCTTGAGTAGCCTCATACGTGAAAGTAATGCGCAAACATCTGGCCTAGCCTATGAAAAATTCTGCCACTTTTCCGCTTGATTCTGAGTACTTCTTCCACTGATTGTTCATAACAGACGCCATGGTCTGGTTCCATGTCATTGTTATAATAATGCATAAGGTCTGCACACTGTTGAGCTCCCAATGATAAACTTTATTAAGGTGAACGTTTTGACAAAAACAAAAATAACTAAAGATAATCCAAATCACTAATCCAAAAAAAAGCAATATCAGGTGGCCCATAAAATGTATTGATAAAATAAGATATCATGATTGAAGCAGAAACAACCTGCAGTTATGTATTCAATTATTGCATATTGTTGAAGTTCACTTGATGAGGGTCCTTTTTCAAACCGGCCACTACACCCTCTCCCTACCCACTACCCCTCCGTTTGCGCGTCCCCGCGGAGGGTCCGCCATATTGAGTCCATCCCAAACCAACTAGCGGGGAGTGGTAGTGGGTTATAAAACCCTCCACCAGCGAGTGTGCACCACCGATGCCGACTTTTGGATCACGTGCAACGCCTATTGTGTCCGGTCGTCATGGATGAAGCAACCTGTGAGTTTCAAACACTGCTCCAACTAAGATAGACATTTAATATCATCATACAGACTTTAACAACTTCAAATGTATATTGAGGATCAAATACATGTTTATTTATTGTGAAGTGTTTTATATTTACAGGGACTGTCGCAAAAACAAAATAATATTAAATCATATTGCAGACAACTTTTCTCTTAATATTTATTTCCTATTTTTCTACTTTTGATGTCTTTGTGAAATCTCAATTCAACAACAAACAAAAAATACACTTTTTGCTGCTCTGATGTTCAATGATATTATCCTTGTCTTTGCATTAATTTAGGACACCCTGATTTAAAAATTACAATAAACAATGTAGGCTCAATCTAATAGTTTTGTTATAAGTCTACACTAATATTACTAAAGAAGAAGAAGAATTTAGGCTACATAAATATTTTTACAGAATGCATTCGCTACAAAAAAAAAGCCGTTCCCGTAAAATACTGCTGAGTAACCATGGTAACATACAGTTCCTGTTTCCTCCTGAGAGAGGGAAGTTTGTCTGAAAGCTTGCCTCTGTATTTCTACCCTACACCTTGGCCGTATCCGAATTGCCAAGTACATACTCAATCTTTCAGTATGCAGTAGGCAGTATGCAGTACGTACTATCCGTGCTGCATACTGTTAGTACCTACTATTCAGTATGCACACACAGTAGGCAGATATTTGTTCCTACTTCTTCTGGTACATTCAGTATGGAAGTGACGCCATTTACGTTTCCCGAACGGGCCGCATCCACCTGTTTTATTGGGTTTTTTTTGTTTAGCTTTATTCAAGAAGAGTAATTCTCACATACAGTCAGGTAAGCAAAAAACAATATCACAATGGAAATCAAGTAAAAGACAGATTAAATAACTAAATAACATACAGTACATACAGGAAAGTACAAATGAAAGACAGTAATATACAGAATATAAAATAAACCAATAAAGTGTGGGTGGGAAAACACAATTCATTTCCTGAAAGCACGCATCCGATCCATACTGCATAAAACCCGGAAGTTAGTATCCATACTGAAATGTTCAGTATACTGCGCGGACCCAAAAAAAATGCATACTGAATGACCATTAAAGTTCAGTATACTGAAACTCCATACTGAATAGTACGTACTGCCTACTGAACTGTGACAATTCAGAAAGGGCCCTTGATGAAGGGGACGTCATTCAGTTGGGAGTTAGACTTCTAACGGAGTGCCCTCCGTCACGGAGGGGGAGGGTGTAGTCACAGCGACGGCCCTGTTTAAAAAAAAAAAAAAAAAAAGAAATACAATCACTGGATGTTTGGTGCTAAAATGTGGAGTTAAAAAAACAAAAAACACAGCCAACTAGTGGCTTTTTTATTTTTCTGTGCTCATATATTACTGCACCATAGAATCGGGTTGGAGTGAGACTTTTTAGGAATCTCTTTAAGATGGTATGCATCTTATCTCATCAAAATGTCTAATGAAACCACTAGAACAGAAAGGTATGTGGTCAACGAGATATAAAATACATGAAAACAGATTGAACCTACCTGTTTTTCTTGCAGATCTGAAAGAAAGAATGAAATTGTTGATTTAAAAGAGTGAAATGTGGCGTTCTTTGATCCAAAACATTTACAGCAATGTCAGACCAATAACCATGACACTTCAGTGACTCCTGACTTGAGATGTTTGAAATGATTTTGCATGGTGACATAATTGAGACTTACATAACAGACCAGCAGCACAAGCCCCACAAAGACCACAAGCCCCACAGTGCCTGAAAAAAGAAAACACCTGATTGTCATGTGGTAACAAGGTTAAAAAAAAACAAGTCCTTTCACTCATTCATTCATTGTTTGTAAAATGTCATTCAGTGCTTGCGAGAAATACATACCTGCAATCAATCCATAATGTCCACGTCCTGTGGGCTGCTTCTCTTCACCTGAACATGAAGGTGTATTTCATGTTAAGAATATAGCCACGTGATGCAGCAGCAAACAAAAAATAAAAACATTACAGCCTTAAAAGGATACTTCACCCATTTGTATGAAGCTTTGTATCATTAGAAACCTGGTAGTATTTTTGAATGGTCGTGCATCCCGCCCTCATTTTCCCCTGAGACGGGAATTATCTGTATTTATTTTCTGAAAATGAGCCAGATGACGCAAAAAATCGCCATTTTGTTTCATCGGCGGCTGCTCTGATCTTGGAGGTGCCCGGCTGGGCGCTCACACCCTCCACGGACCCTCCTCACGCCGGCTGCCATTGCACAATAATAGCGCAGCAGCAGAGGTGTCAAGTACAAATACTTTGTTACCTTACTTAAGTAGAAATTTTGGGTATCTATACTTTACTGGAGTAATTATTTTTCAGCTGACTCCTTAGATTTCACGCAATTATCTGTACTTTCTACTCCTTACATTTAAAAAATAGCCTCATCACTCCTATTTCATTTCGGTTTGTTTTCATACGGGCTTGTCATCGTTAAAAAACAAAACAAACACCTATCCAGATAAATCGCGCCATCCGGATAGAGTGAATTTGATTGTGGTTGGATGAGAAGTGTAAACATATACCATTCCGACACCCTATTGGTTTGTTTGTACAGACGTATGTAGCCTAGTACGAAGATGTCCGTGGCAGAGCTACTAGTCATCATGTCTTCCGCTCCATGACACACATGTTAATGCTCAGTAGTACACATATATGGTCCTTTAATGTATTTGCATTGTATGAAAATGCATTCATTTTCAATGGGCAAAAACGCGGCTGAAACAGGTGCATCCCAAATTTCTCAACATTAACATTTTAATATAACATTGTAGTCATTATGGCCTTTAGAAAAATGTTTTTTGGGGAGGTGGGGTAGAGCACTATAGGCCCCTGTGGCGCGGCCTAAGCTTTTGTCCTTAATGGCTTTTTTCTCCCCTTACATTACTTTTACTTTTATACTTTAAGTAGTTTTGAAACCCGTACTTTTACACTTTTACTTGAGTAAAAAGCTTGAGTTGATACTTCAACTTCTACTGAAGTCTTTTTAAACCCCAGTATCTACCTGAGTAATGAATGTGAATACTTTTGACACCTGTGCGCGCCGGCCGCAAGAAGCATGAATCAGGTTTTAGAGTCCTGCTGCCCGGAATTTCCAAGATGCCAATTCCTTCTGGAACAAATCTTGGAATCAGTTGAGGAAACGGCCGTATGTGTGTGTAGTAAATGTCTGTAAATAAAGCACCAAGCTTCAGTGGGAGTGGCCTGTGGTGCTGTGCATTCTGGGAGTTGTTGTCTTTCATCCACATCAGCCAAAAATACACTTTCTGCCTTTACTAGGTTAAGAAGGCACCAACTTCAAACTTCGACCCAATGTTAATACAGATTCATGTTTCAACGGGTGAAGTGTCCCTTTCATGTCTTAAATGTTGAATAGAAAGAATCTACTTCACATAAGATTGTGCCTGGTATTAAGTTTTGATTATGATGGAAGTATTATAAACAATTTAAAGACTACTTTAGTAAACTGACATGCAATCACAGGTATCAGTTAGGCCTGCACGATCTGAGAAAAATATGCCATGTGCGATAACATTGTGCAAAAACGTGATAATGATGTGAACTGCAATAAATAAAGAGAGCTTTAACTCCCAGTTTCTGTCTATCTGCTGTTCTTCATGTTTTGCATAACATCTGTGTTTGCCACATGCCCCTTCTAAATAAAATAAAAAATGTTCTCCACTAAATTGGCACTGATTAATCTTAGAGTAGCTGATAGCTACCTTTAGCTTCATCTGACTCCATCAAAATGGTGTATAGTTCAGACTGTCGCGATGTGTTAATTGCGAATGCTGAATCGTTATTAGTCGTGATTTCAGCCCTATCGGTGTACTCAGGGTCCAAAATTGTGGGTAAATAAATTAGGTTAAGTGGCATTTGTGGGTGCCCCAGTCAGTACACCTGGCTGCAGCTTTCCCCGTGTTGAGCCGGACTCACCCGGGGTTCCTGGTGCAGCCTTGTGTAGACAAACTGTCCCGCACTGGCTAATGGTGGCTGGCTAGCTACAGTAACTAACGTTTTAGTTTTAATGGTGCGGATACACATTTCCAAACCACTAAGCCTCGCCTCTTGGCAAATAAAAACTATGTTAATAGCGTGTTCCACTGTCTCTCTGTGGCAGGAATAGAAGAGGATCAACACCTGACACAGCGGACAGGAGATGATAGAGACTGAGTTACACTATGAGCATTAACAGAACTGAGAAGTAGAGCCTGACCGATATGAGATTTTTAGGGCCGATACCAAGTCCTTTCACTCGTTCATTCACTGTTTGTAAAATGTCATTCAGTGCTTGCGAGAAATACATACCTGCAATCAATCCATGATGTCCACGTCCTGTGGTCTGCCTCTCTTCACCTGAACATAAAGATAAAGAGATAAAGATAAACTTTATTGATCAGAAATTTGTGCATTACAGCAGCTCCAGAAAACGGGACGGGAATATACTTATAAAAAATAAAAATAGAAGTTAAAAACAGATCAAACATATTGACATCATTTAAATAAAAAAATACAATAATGTAAATACATGAAGGTGTATTTCATGTTAAGAATATAGCCACGTGATGCAGCAGCAAACAAAAAATAAAAACATTACAGCCTTAAAAGGATACTTCACCCATTTGCATTAAGCTTTGTATCATTAGAAACCTGGTAGTATTTTTAGGGCCGATACCAACATTGAGGAAAGAAAAAATCAGATACCGATAAATCAGCTGATATCTTTATTAGATCTAAGTCCGATCTGTAGACATCGATAGATTTAGATATACACGTTTAGTGTGTTTATCCAAATGCGGTTATCAAACACTTGTGGAAAAGAGATGTGAATAAGAAAAGATGGTCACCTAATGAACTTAAGCAGGAAGACTGCTTCTTCTCTCTCGCATTCACTCATCTCTTCATTTAACCACTTCCTTCCTCTGCACACCAGCACCAGTGTCTAGACTCCACTATCTGCTGTAGGCCTCATTGCCTCTCCGAGTACATGAAGTCGTCATGATGGAGACTAATACCCACATTCATTTTCCAAATTGTTAAATGTGTCATTGTTCATTCTCAACTACGTATCTCCTGATTTAACTACATTCTGCAAAATAACTTTGCCAGTTGAATCAACATGTTTATAAAATAGTTTAAATATTGTAACTATTATGAAGGTATGCCTTACTATAGGATGCTTTTATTAGACCTAATTTATTATATGTTTCTTGTCACTTATAATCTTGCTTGTCAGTTTATAATCTGCAGTGGGTTAGCCAACCAAAAGATTAACAAAGAAGGAATGGCTAACTCCCTACATTAACTACTTCACTAATTACCAACAATATTAAATATATTCAATTACATCTGGACCAGGAAATGACCCAAAACAGAAGGAAATCATGTTAAATGAATGTGTGTTGTACGTACAGCCTGAGGTGACGTTCGGAATCTGTCCTTTTCCATCTTCGATCTCCAGGTTTTCAATATAATCTGGGCAGTAGATGAGGATTCCGGGTTTGTCATTACAAACAGCACAAGTATGGTTGCCACCTGATTTATGAAGAGCAGAGCATGCTGGGAAAGTTTCGCTGAGATTCCTGTCGAACAAAAGATGGTTTTCCGGGGTGTAGATGGTGGTCAAGTTTTGGCATCTGTCCATGTCATTGCAGGTAAAACATTTAGGCCTAACTGTGGACAGGACAGAGAAAAACATGAACAGGTAACATCAAAGGTGCTCCAGGTATACATCTGTGCTAACTTAAATCTGTATCTGGAAAGTTGCTCAGAATAGGATTGCCGCAGTGTGGCTGAATCAACGAGTCTAGCATGTCTAGTCGAGCATGTGGCAGATAGAACAAGAAAAACATCACGTAGTTAAAAAAAATTACTTTCAATTGTTTAGTCATATAGTGTTAATAGGGCAGTATTTATATAGCTTCAAGCTCCCTTTTAAGAATACATCAAAATAAAGACAAAAATACAATAAAACGATGCACACTGAAATACTTCAACTTTTTTTTAAAACTACATACCAACAGAGCCCTCAGTGCCAGAAGCATGTAACAGCATCAAACAAAGAAGGAACCCTGTAAAATTCAGATAAAACAAAATCAAACATACTCTTGATTATGCAATATATTGCTGCTTATTATAACAAAGGGGCGTTAATAAAATCTGAATTATACACTGTGCTACAGATTTATGAGGTAAACTGTGTTGTCATAAGAATATTCCGCCTGTAGTGTTTTCATGTTTGACACTTTATTTATTAAAGTTATTGTGTTGTGCTTGTTATTGTAAGTTGCACTGAGCTGTGTGTGTGTTTTCTCTGCACTTTCGCCCTAGTGAAATCTCCCCCTGTTCAAATTTAAAGGGGACACAACATGTCCATTTTCCACCTTTTAAAACAGTCCCGTGGTCTGGATGAAGTGTCTGTGTCGTGTTTTGGTCAAAATATAACATGGGGCGCTGGTGGCGCATTGGTTAGTGCACGTGCCCCATGTATGGAGGCTTTGGTCCTCCAAGTGGGCGGCCAAAGTTCAAATCCCACTTGTGGCTCCTTTCCCGCACAAAAAGCCCATAATGAATCTTTAAAAAAATATATATAACATTAATCAAGCACCAGCTGCTTCTGTGCTGAGTTTTCCCCGTAGTGATCATCCTATCGGATCCTCCCCCTGAAAGAATAAAATGGTGCAAAAGACCTGAGCAAAAGTTTTGTTCTAGGCTGGGGTCAGCGTTGATTAGGGGATACCAAGGGAGGGGGATGATCTTTTGAATCCCACTGTGACATCACAAGGGGAGCAAATTTTGAACGGAGAATTTTTCTCTGTGTTGTAAGACTTATGCAGACCACTAACAAAGGACTGGATGGGTTTATTTCACATTTTGTGGGTCAGAGATAATCCGCTCACCCAAATATACTGTACGTGTTTTCATGACATGTCCCCTTTAAAGCAGGGGTGCCCAAACAGTCGATCGCGATCGACAGGTAGATCGATGACTGATTCTCAGTCAATCGCGAGATGTTTAGTCAATATAAAATACAATTGTAAAATAGAAAAGTGATTTCAATTTCATCTCATTGCAGTGTTTCCCACACACGATACCTGTGTGGGGAGCCCAAGTATACTTCCGACCTGTTTGTATTTAATTTTTCATTTATTCATGAAATTGCTGCGTGCATGAGAGAGCGAGCGAGAGAGCGAGCGGGGGAGCGAGAGAGAGAGAGCGCGCGCAAGAGAGAGAGTGCAGGCATGCGCAAGGACGTGCAGGTAAAACCGGGGGTCTAAATGTTTTACCAAAAAGTCATATATAGAAACTATGCTACGAGTATTAAGCGCATTTGATGAAGCTGCAGCTACTTTTCTCTGCTCCTCTCTGCTGTCATGACTGTGAGCATCGCGGGGCACGAGACACACCAACATACAGCGCAACCGCACACACACACACACACACACACACACACACACACACACACACACACACTTGCACTGGAGCGCCAGCCACCACGCGAACTTTTTTACTTTTAGTGCTACAGCACACAGTTGATCCGTGATCTTTACGGACCGAGGCGGGAACACACGTGATCCGGTAAAACGGTCGGTTGGACTTTACTCCGTTCACTCTCACCGTGTCTGCAGCTAATTTAACAAAAGCAACATCATCTCACAGCAGCCTGCTGTAGTCTGTGAACATCTCCACACAGATTAAAGTTGTTTGTTGTAAACTAAATTAAGGGAAAAACATATGTGATATAAATACAAACGTAATATTAAAATGTAGCCTACCCTAAAATAAGAGTTTAAAAAATTTGAATAATTTTTTACAGAACTCTCATTTAGAGTGAGAAACTCTAAATTATTATATCTGAAATTATTTTCTGTTTGTTGTGTGAGTATTAAATGCATTTGGAGGCTGTCGGTAAAGGCTACAGCTCACTATGTGGACTGGTAGATCTCTGCAGACTGGCAACTTTAAAAGTAGATCTTGGTTTAAAAAAGGTTGGGCACCCCTGCTTTAAAGTATATCTAATTATCCTTCCCCCATGTATGTAAAAACAGAGGGCGAGACATTACAAACTCCTCTCAGTATATGGAAGTGTCCTAAAAAGCACCACCTTTTACCAGGACCTCGTAAATAAACAAATTATTAAAATTTCACAATTCTGACACATTTGACATAAAATAACTTTATCGTTTTTTGTCTAATTAAAACGTATTGCACCGTTGTTGTATAGAATTACCTGAGACATATTAACCCTAATCCTAACCTCCTGCCATCTGGGAGACAGTACCGGAACGTCCGAACCAGCTCCACCAGACTAATGAACAGTTTTATCCACCAAGCTGTCAAGAAGCTGAACTCTCTCCCCTCTTCTCCACCCCCTGACCCCCTCAGCTCTGGACGTTGAACCTCCACCACCCATCCTGGAGCAGTCCTCTCTGGTAGTCTCTCTGTCCTCTCTCTCTCACTGTCTCTCTCTACCTCAAGACATAGATATAAAATAAAATGTAAACAAGTTTCATGTCCAGTTCTTACCTGCAGCAGCAGCAGCAGCTCTTTTCCTCTGTTGGTGGCTTTTTCTTAGTTTCAGAGTAACCCGTAGTGGACCCTGTGGTTTTGCTGCAGCATTCAAGTCATCCATTTTGTTTTCCAAGAAGGAGCATTTCGGGCCTTCTTCCACTACATGTGGTTTCAAGGCCACTACCTCTTCCGCGTCCGAGCCTCGTGGTGTATCATTTACTTGAGTTGGACAGGACAGTTTAGGGACATTTGCATCCGAATTCAAGCAGAGCTTTCCTACCATCCCATGGTGCTCAGAGTTATCTGGTTCATCTTTAGTAATCGCTGTGACGCCGGTGTGTTTTTCTTGCAGATCACCATCAGTGTGCTTTTTATTGCATGTGTGCGGCATGGTGGAGGAGAGGCCAGCCTCTCTGTAACAGAAATGAAATACAGAATCCGCCCTTTTTTCTACGTTTGGTAACATACATGTTGACACTTTTGTAGAAATATATAGAAACAAGTCATCATATTTAATATCTACAAAATAACTAATGGATACGACAACAAGCTTACATTAATGTGAATGCAGCCACCACTGAGCTCTGCATTACATGACTCTCAGATGAAAATCATCCAAAAGATGAATGGATAGAAAAGAAAAAGGAATTTAAATACAGTACCTGCTCTCCTGGCTGTGATGACCCGGTTACCTTCAATTGTAAAACAAAAATAGTGAAACTACTAAAAGCCATAAGCACTGATGGGCTCAGACAATCTGTTCCCTGTGAATTTACAGACACCCAAATTGAGTCAACATGGTTTCAGCTTTTGCTAAATGCGTGATCATGATCAAATGCTTCGAGAGTTCAGCCCTAACATGTTGGAGTGAAATGAGTACCGAATGAATGAAATATGCAACTCTCCGTTATCCCACCTGCTGCCTGTCTAAAACAAGAAGCTTAAGGAATATAAACTAACAAACTTACTTTCCGGGAGTGAAAGCTAAGAAGTGTCCTTTGGCAGGGTTATTTTTGCCCGAATTGGCTTCAGCAAAGAGGAGCAGTTGTTGTAGCGAGCATGTCTCTGAAGACATCAGGAAATAACCGATCACACGTTATACAGTATCTCCATCTAGTGTTTAAATACTGTAAGTATACAAGTACGCTCAAGTCAGACTGCTGCAGTTTGACACAAACATTATCTTAGAACAGCAGATGAGTGTTTTTTTCCTGGGGGTGGGGTTTGGGGCTTTTTTGCCTTCATTTGATAGGACAGCTGAAGAGAGACAGGAAATGCTGGGAGCAGAGAGTGAGGGTTGACATGCAGCAGAAAGGGACATGGTAGGACTCGAACCCACAGCTGCTGCAACGAGGACTACAGCCTCTGCACATGGGGCGCGCAACATATCCACTAGGCTGTCGGCGTTCCCAGAATAGTGTTTTATTTAGTTATTTTGAACCTTTAGTTCAGCTCATGAAAGACGAAGTCATTGGTTAAATATCTTTAAGTAGAAGTATTTGGTTTTGATCTAATAGATACCTCTTTTTTATGCGATAGGTCCTGATGATGTCAAAAGAATATCAGGATTGAATTAAAGAATTGTTGTTAATCAGGCACAAATGACTATGAAGGCCCCCCATAATTTCTACTCAGAGTATGAAGTCTCACCATCAGGGAGCCGTCAAACAGCCAGCAGATATATAATCGCTTCAAGCTTTCCTTTTCTTTCTCCCAACATCCCTCGCTCTGCTCGACAAACAACCTGCTCATCTTAACATGTTTTTCTTGGTGTGCAAATTTTGTATTTATTTTTTTAAAGTTTATTTTGATCTTTCCATGCCTTTAATGACAGAACTGTGGAAAGATACTACTATTCAGATTCTTAACCAGTGTTACCAGTAAAGTAAAAGAGTCAGAGAGCCTGGTTTATACCTGCCGTTATAAACAACCATCAAACCACTGTCAAACTCAAATCTGTCGGGAGGTAAGTACCAAGGTCCTGATTTCACCAATTGATTTAAATTATCCTGCAAGAGAGGGCCATAACCAGGGTTGGAAAGTTAAACAAAGTAACACATCATTTGTAGTTATTACAAATGGATACGTAGAGGAAGAAAATGAATGAAATATTCAGATTCAAAGTTCCTGCGGTCATGTATTTGCACACAATAAACTGCCTTATACACAGCCTAACAAAGGGGCAGTGTTTGTTGAGTTTGAATGCAATCAATGGTCTTTAATGAATCTTGATCAATTAAAGTTAAATTAAGTTACATTAAACAGTTTAGCCATGTAGATGCAAACATAACAGAATAGCATTTTTTGTTTTGGTTTCACTTCTTGTGTTTTTTCTTTTTTTTCGAAACAAACAACTTGTATGAGTCAGATTACACAGAAACACACTGTTGTTATGGAAACCAGGAAGTGTCCACTCACATCTGACATTTAGGTGCTGTCCTTCAGACCAAAGTGTGTATCTGGGGCAAAGTGCAGTCCCAATACAACAAAAAAGGTTTAACAAAACAATTAAGTAGTCAGACCTGGATATTTACTGAGATTATATTATGATCTATTTAAACCCAGGGCATTAAATGAGATAGTGATAAGCTAAATACATACAAAATCATCATTTAAAGGGTACTTTCTATTGAGACATAGCTGTCCCCAATCCTGACCCCTAAATTTCAATTAATGTAAATACCACCTAAAACATTTTTTAGATTTGTTTCAATGGTGTAATTTAAAAGATCGAGATCGGAGTCGCATCTTAAACCACTAAAGAGCTCAAACAAAGCGATAGTCTTCATCCTGCCACAAAAAAAAGGTGAAGCCTTTCAGTTTATCCATCAGCTTTAAACCAAAAACTAACAACAGTTCTGATCAAACTTTGACCACATACCTGATGTGTTATCCTCTGCAGAAACTTCACTTCGCACTGATGGAGTTCCTGTGTACGTGCCTACGTGCGTGTGCCCTTTGAAGCTGCAGCAGGAACAAGGGTTGAGGAGTGAGCATCACGCAGGGCTTCATCACAACCATCCCCCGACCACATATTGTTTTATAACTTATAGGTTATCTGTTCGGCGGGTCAGGCTGTTTATGCAATATATCCCTTATGTGTCACCATGTGTGACAATAAGTGTAAATCACTTTATCGAGCTTTACTTCATGTTGGCCACAATAGTACAGTAGAGTTGTGACACTCAGTGTTAGCTGAGTGGTGTTACAGCACTGTGCCATCTCCATCAGGGATTTATAGGCCAGTGAATAAACAACCCAACTAGTAAACAGTCAACTCAAAACATCTCTTAGATCATTTGTCTTAATGCATAATAAAGCTTTGGGAGTTGTAATTTATTTATTTATTTTTGTTAAAAATTCAAAAGTCTGTATACAGTGTAAATGCAAACCAACATCTATTCCTGGTGTGAACATCTGTGTGATCACCCGAACCACTTCCTGTGTGAAGTTTTTTTTAGCCTATTAAGGCAAGTTTATTTATGAAGCACATTTCAGCAACAAGGTAATGCAAAGTGCTCGACATCATGACAGAGAGAAAAGAAAATGTTAAACCCCCCCCCCGTTGAGTTTTCCCCCGACAGACTCTCGAATCCCCGCTGAGAAAGATACAAGATGAGGAAGTTAAATAAGGAACTTAGAATATACAAAATAAAAATTGCTGATATGAATAAATTCAAGGGAAAAGAGAAAATAGTTCAAGCAAAAAAAAAAAAATACAAGAACATCAGAAAAATAATATTTTACCCTGGAATATACATCCAAGGACACAGGCGGAGTAAGGGTGCTGCGAGAGAGAAGGTCCTTTTGGTGAGTGATATAGCTGTAACATACAGACCTAATCATCTGTGTATCAAAGGTGCTGCTTCTGTATTTTCCACACGGTCATCAGAACAGGAATCCCCCCCCCCCCCCTCCTCCCACCCTCATCTCAGCTGAGTCAATGCATCCTCATGCACACAGTCTTACCGTTTCAGACCCACAATCTCTGTTTTCATTGGTTGTAAAGTGCATTATGTTTTTACTCATCAGTGTGACTCACTCCTGCTCTCCACTCAGGTGTGCTGCTTCGCCGGAGGACATGGATCAGACACAAGAAGGGGCGTGGAGCAGGTATAAAGAGGAACAACTATGTCAACTCGTGCTCAGACCTGACGCGGCATCTCTCCCTCTACAGCAGACAGGTAGGCACCTTCATATGTTCTGTTAAACAGCAAAGAATCAGAGTCAAATATATAACATAATATACGTTTTTACACTTTATTACTTATAGTCAGCCTGTCGTCTTCACACTGGATCAACAAGACTACTGAATAAAAGTAATAAAATGCCTTTATTTCTACAGAATGAATGCACTGATGAAGCTGTTCACTTGCTTTCTGCTCTTTTTCTTTTTCTTAAGTCTGTCTTTTGTGAATATAAGGCTTGTAAGGTGACTGACTGGTTGCTGTTCAGTATTAGCACCTCTAAATTAAACACAAGTGTGAGCTTTCCATTATGCACTTACAATAACAGCTTCAAACGTTGTACTCAAGCCAAAGCAAAGAAAAGCTTTCTGTTTCCTCCTCTTGTGGACTTACCAGTTCGTCAGCTTTTTCGGTCCTTGGGTTAGATAACACGCAGCAGCACCAAGTGCGAGTAAAAGTAGCTGCGGAATGCTGACAGCAGATTCTTTTCAGACCAAATTCTTCCAGCAGAAGCACATCAGGTTGAGAGCAGCGCATGGGAGCTTTTGTTTACACAACAAGCTCCGCTACGGTTCACTTATCTGGTCCCTGAGGGGGAGCAGTGTTTGTTATATTTATGCATCTTAGTGTTTTTGGAGGTTACTTCAGGATTCAGGATATCCTGGTTTACCAAACTGTCCGCCCCCGCACACTGAACATCTGATTTTGTTTCGGTGATTAAAAAGGATTCTAAAGAAGTGAACCTGAAACACAGGTCGGTCATATTTTCATGCTGTGGTGTGTGCCTTTTTCGGTTTTACACAGAATCTCTGTGAAAATCTTATTACTCAACAGAGGTGACACTCCCTTCATGAGAACGCTGGGTGCAATGGGATCTGTTTGCTCTTTAGCTCTGACTGGCCATCAACAGGTTCATTCATGCTGAAAAGGAAGCTGCATGAAAGATATGTGCAGAAGCATTTGACAGTCGTACATTTTTCAGATGGCTTTATGATTTTAATGATACTGTGGGAAAGCATTACATTAGGCCATTTAGATCTCTTTCACAAGGTTGACCTGTTTTGCAGATAAAGTGCAGAATATGTTTTTTCTAATAGATTTGTGATGCAGAGCAAGAGTCGTGTGCAGGATTTTCTTCTTTTCAGAGCTACAGTTACACTTCACGACATAGTTGGATGTGCGAACACCATTTTTAAAACAATATTTAATGTGATTACACCATGTGGTGTAATCACCTTTAAACTGCAGTAAAGTACTTCTATGAATCTACATTGTTTTTTACAGGCAGTCACAGGTTTCTTATTGACTTTTGTCTGTTTAATGAGTCACTATTTATTATATAACCAACTTTGAAGTAATTGCTCCTGTTTGGAATCCCTCTTGCACATTGGTCACAAACATTTTAATACAAGATGACAAAGAGGAAAATTCCCATGAATCCCACTTGTGAAATATAGAACATCTAATGGTAAATTGGAGAGGTAGGGAAAGAACCAGATATTCGCTCAACAGGGTCACAAATCAAAGAATAAATGATGGAATAAACATCGCTGTCAGTGTTAAACATAAGGTCTTTACCTGCAGAAACTTTGATCTTTATTATTTACTTTCCCCTCTGTATTAACATGACTAATTCTACGCTTTATAGCATGATTATAAAAATGACACAATCCTCACTCTGCTGTCTCCTAGATGGCGTACTCGACGAGCACTCTGGCACAGGGCTGCTTTGGGAAGGTGTACAAGCAGAAGTACAATGACACCTGGGCTGCTATAAAGAAAGTCCCCCAACAGCTCATCAGCAGGAAGGACCTGGAGAGAGAGTGTGATGTGTACAAGTAAGTCCATATACATTTACACAAGGAAAAAAATGAAACTTTTTCGGCTTCTTTCTCAAAATTCTTCAAGTTAAGCTGTTTCAATTTCTAAAATGCCGGGGAAAAAAATCATCTGTGTGACATCCTTTGTTCTTGTGTTTTCTTTACACCAGTTTTCTCCCAAATGTTCTTTAATCACAACAACAAAACAACATTTCAGAGCTTTAACATACACAGCAAAGAGAGAGAAACAAGATGTGGAAATGCAGATAAGAAAACCTTTATGGGAAGCCATCAAAGACATAACAGAGAATATAATGCTCCTCTACAGATAACTGCTGGCTCACACCCAAAGAATGTGCTGAGGGACATGTAACAACCTTGTCTTTTGTCAAACTTGTTTGTAAGTGCAATTAAATCTGACATTGAAGGAAGTGCAGTTTTCCTGACACTGCACTGAGTTAGGGTGTGTATACAAATGTAGTTATATTAATGGTTTGTGGATGTATATAAGTATGTGCCAAGAAGCATTGTTACAACAAAGAAATAATCTACCAAACACAAACTTCCTTACTTTTTGTGCGATGTTAATATATATATATATATATATATCTTCATCAACATCGACAGCTTCTCATGAGAATCCTAACTAGCATCAACACCATCCTAAATATCAATAATGTTGTCATCAATATCAGTGAAAATTAACAATCAATATGTAAACAGAAGCACATACCGGTGACAATCTCGCACGTTAAATGGCTAACTTTCCACATATTGAATATCAATAATTATTAAAGGAGAAAGGAATACGTTGAAAGGGTCCAAATGATGAATAGACATAATCCTGGTCACCTCTTCTCTAGTGCCAGATCAAAAATCTTCCTCATGCTGTGAAATATCTAACGGGGGGTCTTGGCTCTAAATAAGTTGCAGAAGTGCCATATTGAAGTTTACCCAATGTTTACCAGATAAGCCAGATATTGTCTTTTTAAAATATTTGTGTTTCAAATATAATGTTTCATTTTCTCTCCCTCCCCATTATTTAACTCAACTGATCTGCAGCAAGGCAGATCATCCCAACATAGTGAAACTTCTGGGCAACATAAATCTGATGGACGGAAAATGGATTATTCCTCTTGAGTTTATCTTCGGAGAAGACTTGGAGACCACCATCTTCAAAGCATCAAAGTCCAAAATACAGGTAATGCCATCCTGACACACATATTTCATCCTGAAAGCAAGGATATTTGTTCTTAAAATACAAATACATGTCACACTTGGTTTTTATGGTTTTTATGGTTTTTAAAACAGTAACACCTGATTTAGCACAATATGGCTACGATGAAAGGCAGGTCATCATAGACTTCTTGTTCTTGTCAAAGCAATCATTTGCATAAAAATTCCATTCCTATACTCTCCAAACCTAAGACTCAGACTCATCATAATACCTGCCTCACTGGTTACACGTCATGCCTGGGAAACCCCAGTCAAGGTGCTCTAGTTTGATTCAGGTCTGAGGAAAAAAGGGCGTGCGACTCAGTGTAAGGAAGTTGTTCTGAATATTTTTAGGATAAAATATGATCCCCGTCCGGCTAAACTTGATCTTAAATGTTTGTCTTTACAGCTGACTCCATCTATTAAAGGGACCATCATTATCGGGATGTGTGAAGGGATGCTTCACCTCCACTCCAAAGATATCGTCCATCAAGACCTCAAGCCGGAGAACATCATGGTGAGTTAAGGGCTGCTTCTTCTGTCAGAGTCATTTCTCTCACTCATAACATGAAGACCATTACCAATAATGAGATCTTAAAAACACAGTACATGTATGATCCTAAAATTGGATGTTATTCCTCAATATGTTTGAGTCCAATGTCTTTACTGGCCTTTTTTTATTTCAAAATTGCAAGAATATTTTCTTTTTTTTTTCTTATGTAGACAAAAAAAAAATATATTTTTTAATTTCGAGATTAAAGACGTAAATTTACAAGATTAAAGTCGAGAGTAGAGAGAGTAGAGAGTTCTACTTTCATCATTTTCGCGCAGGCTGGTCTCAAACTCGTTAATTTACGAGATTATTCTCATAAATTTACGATTTTAATCTTGAAATTTCATTTTTTTTTTTTTTTTTACGTGGCCCTAATCCTCCGCCGTACAATTGTGATATTACTTCCTGTGATCATTTGTAGGGATGCTAGCAGGGTGACTTATCTCATTCTACTTTGAAGGCTTCTACGCAGCCCCCTGAAGTCCCAAAGAGTAAAAAAAAAAAAAAGAAGAAAATCTTGCGCACAATATGCGCATGATATGTTGTGCAAAGAAATTATCATATTGTTCCCACAAGTTATTATGTTGTGTGCACTAGTTACTATCTTGTCCTCACAATATAAATATATATATATATATATATTACTTTTTAGGTTTGTAGGAGCTCCATAGGTTTCCTATTTTATGTATAAAATGTCTCCACAACTGTTGGATGTTTTGCTTTCAGTAAATAGCCGTTTAGCTAGTTTGTGACTATTCTACAAACTAGTTCACATATTAAAATGTGTTACTTAAATTATAAATATTTGAGCATAACCACAACCAACTCAATCCCAATATCAGAAAAGTTTACACCATCTTAAATGACAATATTTAAATGTAGACTGATTTATTACACATATAGGTACTTACTTTTACGAGCACAAGACCATAAGTTCCATACTTAGAAGGTTATTTCTTGCTGAGAGATGAGAAATTTGGGCCGCTGGTGGCGCAGTGGTTGGTGCGCGCGCCCCATGTATGGAGGTTTAGTCTTCCAAGCGGCCAGCCCAGGTTCAAATCCGGCCTGTGGCTCCTTTCCCACATGTCATTCTCTACTCTCTCTCCCCGATTTCTAACTCTATCCACTGTCCTATCGCTCCACTAAAGGCACAAAAAGCCCAAAAATAAATTTTAAAAAGAAAGAGATGAGAAGTTTGACAATGCACTCATGTCCCATCAAGGCTGCTTAAATCAGCTGGTTAGCTTAGCTGCATAGCATAAAGCTAAGATGGGGGAAAGGTAAGACCAAAAATAACAAAACCTATAGCTGGGATTTACTTCTCAACAAAGTAATCTGAAGCTTGTTTTGGGCTTGTAATTGTAGAGGATCTGGGATTCCTGTGGCTTCAACTTTCCAATCAAGCGCAATCAATTTTGTCAAAACTTTTGTTGGTAACTTAAAAAACAGCAACATTTCTGAAATTTACCTTCTGCTTTGTTGAGCTCTAAGCAGAAGACTTATGCTGTGCATGGCTCTGTAAAGTTAAGTGGCTGTACACTCTTGATATCAAACTAAAGAACCATTTCCCAATAACTGACTGAAGCTGAATCTGACAGACCACCTTGTTTTAATTAATCCAATTCAAAGTGAATGTTGTGAATTGGTTTGTTATTTGTTAGACAATATTTCAGACTAAACAGCATTTGTCTTCAAGGTGGAGCACAACACAAACCGAGCTGTCATCATCGACCTGGGTTTGGCCAAGTTCTTCCGTCATGGTCTAAACTCAGCTATTGACATGGGGAATGAGGCGTACTCCGCCCCCGAAGTGCTGCAGAAGGGCAGCCAGCGGGACCAGCGCTCAGACGTGTGGGCCATGGGAAAGATCATCGCAGAGCTCCTTGCCCGGATCCGACTTTACACACCAAGCGTCTGTCCTGAAAAGATCAAGCAGATCCTTCATGATCAGCCGTACTGCCATGCAGTGTGTAGGATGGTGGAAACCAACCCTTCTGTAAGGGCCTCGGTGGGTGGGGTTATGAGTGAAATAAGAAGGGCTGGAGGTGCAGGGATTGTCGTAAATACTCCCGTTCAAAGAGAGCACCTTCAGCCAGCCTCACCTAATATTAATGCCAGAAATCAGTCTCCAGCGCCAATGATCAGAGCTCAAACGCCAATGGACAGAGCTCGTTCTCCAATGGATAGGGCTCATTCTCCAATGAACAGAGCTCAAACGCCAATGGACAGGGCTCATTCTCCAATGAACAGAGCTCAAACGCCAATGGACAGAGCTCATTCTCCAATGAACAGAGCTCAAACGCCAATGGACAGAGCTCATTCTCCAATGAACAGAGCTCAAACGCCAATGGACAGAGCTCATTCCCCAATGAACAGAGCTCATTCTCCAATGAACAGAGCTCATTCTCCAATGAACAGGGCCCCATCACCGTTTAACAGAGATCCATCACCACTCAACAAGTCTCCATCGCCGCTAAAATGGGAGCGCACACCCAGACCAGAAATAAAGCTTCTGCATCCTCAATCCTCACCCCACCTTTCTGCCTCCCCTCAGAGGACAGAGGACAAGAACAAAAACCAGGCTCTGGTCCCGTCAGGCAGAGCTGACCTCACCAAGGACCTTATGAAAATGCAGCTGTACCAAGAAGCTTCAAAGGATCTGCCCTGCAACCTGCCCACAACAGGGAGGGTGGTGGTGCGGCGCTTTGAGGAGAAAGATGGTGAGGTGGGAACATGGGAACAGAAGGAGGTGGTGACCCGTGATGGGAGGATAGTCGAGTTCAATGATGTCAAGTACAATAGCAAATGAAAATATGAGTTTAAAGATTTGGCATATACTTGACCCCCTTAAAAAATGATGAAGTGCTGGTTGAATGTTTAGCTCAAGATGCAAGTGTTACGGCTATATGTGTCCCTGTACTGTTTGTCCCTTCTCCCTTTCTGTTCTACAGCCCAGAGAAGCTACTAATTGCACAACGAGGTACACCTGGCCTCAGTGCTTAAAAGGCTAGTGCTGGCTGCAGAAAGGGAGGCATTTTGGAAGAGGCATTTTGAGTTGGGACTGCGGTGCCTCTCAGCCAGGGATTGCCTGTTGTCTTTTGTTAAGTTACTTTCTAATGTGATCTGTGTTGTCATAAAGTTTAAGTAATTGTAATAAATCCCTTTGTTTTGACTTTTGTTAAGGTGTTTAGTGTCTTTTAGTGGGTGAATGTGTGATTTGTTGTTAGCCCAATAGAGCTGCCTAAACACAATCTACTGAGTTTTGAGAGCTTTATGCATTTATGTTTCCTCAGACTTGTTTTTAAATGTATCAACAATCTGGCCCCTGAACCTCTCTCCAGATATGTTCAAAGACAGGACGGAAAACAGGGTAACGAGAAGCACTGTGAATGGAAACTGTAGCATACAACGTCGTAGATCTACGTTTGGTCAATCAGCCTTCTCCATCAAAGGCTGTAAACTCTGGAACACATTACCACCTGAAATAAAATTAATCTCGGACTTAAAATCTTTTACAAAACAGGTGAAATGCTGGTTCAAAGCAAGCCAGAGCTGTACCCACTTTTAAATAGTATCTTCAAACTTTATTTTAAACTGGTTTATAGCATTTGTATTGTTGTACATGTATTTTAATGTATCCTCATATCGTGTTATGGGGTTTTATGTAACTGAATGTTGTACATTTTAATCTGTTTGTTTACACAAAGGCCCAACTGGGGACACGAGTTGGAAATTAGCAATAGCTATATACTCTTAATGCAGCACATCAGTTTCATGCTTTGCATTGAAATTATGTTAAATTGCATTGTCCCTATTAAATAAATAAATTCAATTCAATTCAATTATGGTGGGGCGTAACACAAGGCATGAATGTAAGCATTTCGACTTAGCCAAGGAGTAAACTTACCCAGTGCTACAGTAGGCACCTGTTTTTAAACTCAACCTGTTCAAATGTGGAATACAGCCTCCCAGTGTGACGCTCTAATGAGAGCCCTTGAAGCGGTTTGAGTCATAGGTATTTAATTGAGCCTATTTCTTGCTTGCCAGGAAAGATTATCTTATACGTTGGGCATGAACAACCATCTGTCAATGTTTTTTAACATCTGCTTTATCAGGACTGTGAACATGATATTTATGTATAAAATAAATTCATTTCTGTTTTGTTATTCATCTTTGTTTCTGTGGGATTCTTTATACTCATGTTTAGGACTGTTTTTGTCAATTTTGTCATTAGATTCTCATCGCTTTGGCTGTTTTCAATGTCAATAAATTTAAGGAAAACTTAATATTGTGTATCACAAATATATATGGCAGAATGCATGGGTCAGTATTAGTGATATAACTGACTGAGATGTAAGTTAACATGCATTTATTGGTCAAGAAAGTATTTGGCTTATAACACCATTTCAAACTGTTATGGCTGCTGGAATGCGTCAATAGAGAGTTTTTTTTATCCTGCAAGACTCATTAGGAAAAAAGTATTTTTTTCAGTCAGGATTAATCAGCAGGACATCTAAAACTCAGCAATTTACGTTGACAGTCAAGCAGAGAAAATGTTTCTTCAATGAGCCAATCAAAGCTCGATCAAATATCAACCATGTGATGTCTCCCAAAAGACGTACCTGGTAAATAGATTTTATCATTAAATCTTTGGCAAACAGACGCAAAGCAACCCTGCACCACCTGATGTTAATCAAAACTTTTGAGTAAAAATACTGACTGCTATCAGACGCTTTGTTTCTAACCCTCTTTCTACTGTAAACATATTTAAATATGACCATTATTAGAAGTTACAAATCTTTAGGATTGGTCAATCAAGGTACAATCTTTATTTATACACCAGACAGTTTTATTTGGTCCTCTACATTTTGGCAAAGGTTATATTAAATCTCTAATGAGTTTTCTATTTTAAGGGTACAAATCTGCCCCAGCACAACATACAGTAGTTATCATCAACAACAACACTGCTGGCTGCAGTGAACTCGATTTGATCAACTCTGTGATTAAAATATATCATCTGTATCTGCATGTTTCTTTGACTTCTGAACATGAGAGCTGCTGTTGGTCTTTGACAAACTATTTCACATTTTGCTTACCACTCAAACCAATAGTATATAAAAGCCACAAACCAGCACATGTGGTTTCCTGTGCCACTGCTGAGGGATAAAAATGTGTAACATTGTAAAAAAGAAACTCTAACTGAAAAACCCTGTGGTATTCATTTGTAGCTTCTGCATTGTTCTCTCTCAGCACAGATGATGACAGATGTCCATACTCCTGTTATCAGAGAGAAGCACAAGGGGACGGTAAAAACAACAGCATTTTTTAAGGCTTGCTCACCTCTATTGAGGAAGCCTGCTCTTACAGATGTAGCCCTTAAAAACACAATGACCCTTCAGTTTGGCCAGAATAAAGCCCTCTCGATTTACAGTCTGGTAACTCCTTGACTGCTCCTGCACCTCAGGCCCTTTGTGACAGTGAAGGCCTTTCTCCTTTATGCTTGTTGTGAGCCAATCGGATGGGGATACAATGTCTAATATTGCTTCAGAATTGATATTTTCTTTCAAGGAAGCATATTCCTATAGAAGGGTATATTGTTTTGGTCGGAGGGTGTCATGACATCACAAAGGGCAGTAACCCCTCCCCCAGGTGGGTGACACTACCACAGCTAGGTGTTTGTTCTGCCCTCTGAGTCTGACTTCTCACCGTAAACAATCGGGCAAGGTGCAAGAAAAAAAAATGTAAATCTTTTCAGTTGTTAGTCCTGTTGTATTGACTGTGGTGATGGAGGGCAGAGTGTGATGGATGCATTATGAGATGTGCTTCTTCCCCATTGATTAAAGGAATCAAACAAAACACAATTGTTTAAAAAAAAAAAAAAAAGAGGAACACTTGTTTGGATAATCAGTTTATTAATGAATTTAAGGCCACTCTGGACTGTGCAGAATTCATAAAGAGAGCAGAAATAACTCACTAAATCACATTGCCCTTGGTTGCTCCAGTGCTACCCTGTGGTGACTGTTTGCTATTGCTGCAGAAGAGCTTAAATATCCACATCATAACGGAGTCAAATCTAACAAAAGTGTTACACAGTAAATGATGAAGACTGTACACTGTGACCTCGCTACGTAAGCTTCCTTTGTACATTTTACTCCAAAAAAAATGCAACTCTCATCCTGAAACTCCTCACAGCAAATGGAAAGTTACATTTAAAGTCACAAAAATACAGATTCCATTTCACGACACAGACACGGCGGCATGCTGCATGTTTCCTGGGCGAGCACTGATATGTATAATCTCCAGGTTGTGCTCTATACATTCCCTTACTAATAGGATCTTTGCCATGCATATTAAGTCTGATATGCAGATGTCTGTAGGTAAATACTAGTACTGCGTGTTGCTAAGGCCATAGGATTTGGATATGAATTCACGTCAGAGTGATACTACAGTATATAGTCGTCTATTTATGAAAACCACAGGCAACCACTCTCAGAAAGAAAATAACCAAACATGCATGTCCCTTTCCTAAAAATCTGTTTTCTTGTCATGTGTGGTTCAGACTGAAAACATGATGGTTTGAAAGAGGCCACAAATAATAACAAGACATGATAGACCCCATAACCATACAGAAGAAATCATAATCATGGTTCATACAGCTCACACACAAAAACACAAAAGCTTCCATCATCACAGCTTTCAATGCCTTCATCTTTGGTTTCAGCCTTTTCAACCTGCCATTACGGCCGCACTCACAGGGTAAAGGGACTACTACTTTATTTTTAACACAATCAAATCTGTCAGAGAGGAGGCGTGAAGAGGAGGGGGCGGGGGGGGGGGGGGGTCCCACATGCAGTTTATGGGCACTAGTGAAGAGGGAACGGCAAGAGGGTGGAAAAAAAACTCTGTGACACTTTGATTATTCTGAAAAATAAAACAAAAACAAACAAAATTAGAAATGAAATGTTCTGTACGTTCCAAGGATATCTCAAAAACACAACTCAATTTTCATTTAAATTTCCCAGATCCCAGATAAACTGTCTGAGTCCAGCACCTGCAAGTAAAGATTCTGAATTATTGATTAAGCGTTACGTCTATTGGGAAATCAAAACATTTCAAAAATAAAATTTAAAAAATGCTCATTGCCATTCCCCAGAAATCCCCCATGAAACCTTCAAATAGCTTCTCTTTCTCCACTCATTAGTCCCAAACCCAAAGCATCTTCCTTTAGTATATTTAAGGAAGACATTTTTAATCCTGATAGTTGAGAAGCTGGAAACAGACGTTTGATGTTCTTGCTTGACAAGATCATCAAAATAATTCTTAATAATTAGAAATGTTCCAGCTCGGTCAGAGATTTAGCTTCTTCTTCTTTTTTTTCTCAGAAAATAGATGATATAATCCTTTAATGTGATCGAAGCTTGAACATGCTAAATCACATTGCTGTTTTGTAATAAAAATAAAATCTTAAATGTTCACTCAGCAGAGATCTCACAGAATTCTCTGGTTGTGCTTTCGGCTCGAGCTCCTGGACTAGCTTGTTATTTGGCTACTACAAGTAGGAGCAGCTCGTGCTTCTTCACTAATGCGACGTAGAAGAGACTCCTCTTACAGAACAACATTAACTGTTCCCGTTCATTTCTCATGTTTTGAAAACGCAACGGGAACGAGGAGGGCAGAAATCATCCTAAAACAATGAACATCATGAAGATTAAGTGATGAGATGTGGAGGGAGCAAGCCAGCACTCTCCGTGGACACGTTTACATAGAACACACATAGCACACTGTACAGAATTGATATAATCTATTTTTAAAAAAATAGGTAAGCAAGAGAGAGACTCCATTTTGATGTGAATGACAAGCTCATGTGAAGGCAGAGGGCTGATCGCGGTCACCAACACCTGCTCTGTTTGCAAAAGGCAAAAATACTCCAAAAAGAAAATCTAAATAAAACATCCAAGATATTTGATATTCTGAGAAGTGAAAGCGCTACACAGAAGAGTCTGTGCCCTGGTTTTGCATGTACACAGCTCAAATGTTTTTTTGTTTTTTTTTACTTTACCCTCAATCATACTAAACATGACAAAAGGCTAATGTATGTTTACAGCATCCATCGCTTTGAGAACAGGAAGATTTAGTTTATCCTAGCGTACGCCAACCAAACAGATATATTTATCAGC